TCGTGGGGAGTAGGGAGCGTGTACCTTCGCCTCAAAAAACGACACCCAACCGATAGGAATTCTAATACCCTCGCTGCGGAAGAAATCGAGGAGGATCTCGGTATTGAAGAAATCCTAAGCTCGTCCCTCAATCTTCGCGAAGGAGAGGAACCGGGTGTGATGAGTGCTGAAACCAACCCCGGGGAAGAATCGGAAGCTCATGCTAAAGATTCTACAAATAAACCTCCACCGAAGTAAAATTGCCTCAGCTGAGCTCCTCCTTAATCTAGAAGAGGGCGGCTACGATGTGGCTTTAATTCAGGAACCATGGCTGGCCTCGGGCAACCTGGTCTCTGGGTTAAATTCACGAAACTATAACACATTCATTTCACATGGGGTAACAAGGGTAAGAACTGTTATACTAGTAAAGAAAGGTATTAATTCTTATATTGTAAACTCTCTCTCTACAGAAGATCTAACGGTAGTGGCGGTTGACGGCGATAGGAACATACTTCTCGCGTCTTGCTACATGCCACATGAGGAAGAAATACCATCAGAAGAACTCCAAAGGCTGGTAGATTTAGCTGGCGAAGGAGAGCAAAGTCTGATAATCGGTACTGACGCCAACGCACATCATACGCTTTGGGGAAACACTGACATCAATGACAGAGGTGAGTCTCTTTTTAATTACATAATACAAAGTAGGCTTAGTGTAGCTAACAGAGGAGAGGAACCGACCTATGTTGGACCGACCTCCAGAAACGTTCTAGATATAACACTCTTCACGGAAGATAATGTACAGGTGATAGAATGGAAGGTTCTTAACGAACCATCATTTTCAGATCACAAATATATTAGTTTCCAAATAGATTTTCAGTACCTTAAAAGCAGAAAAGTTGTAAGAAATCCCAAACAAACGAATTGGGACCTTTATCGAAAAATTCTGAAACAGAGACTGAAAAAAATTACGACAATTGATTCTTACGTGGATCTGGAAGCTAGCTTGACCAACTTACCAGAGCCCTAACTATAGCGTACCATATCGCGTGCCCGCCAATGCGTACTAAACGTAGATCTCAACCTCCTTGGTGGAATAAGGAATTGGGATCAAAAAGACGCTACGTTCGCGAAATCTTCAAGCTGGCTCAGCTAGCAGAAAGTGAAGTCATCTGGGAAGAGTACAGAGATATTCTTAAGCAATACAAAAAAGACATTCGAAATGCGAAAAGAAACTCCTGGAAGGATTTTTGCGCAGGTATAGAAAAGACGGTGGAGGTAGCTAGGCTAACCTTGTCAGGAAGGAAAACGGCGAATGGACAAAAACTAACACTGAATCACTTGTAGATCTTACTAATACTCACTTTCCTGGCTGTGCAATTGTGAGCAATACCGAACCGGTCAGGAATATGGTAGGCTCCGCAGGAAAAAATATTGTTACTCACATGAGGCTGGAATGGGCAATCAAATCATTCGCTTCATACAAATCTCCTGGACTTGATGGTATTTATCCAGCTATGATACAAAAGGCTTCGGACCTAATAAAAACATGGCTGATAAATATCTTTAGAGGATGCTTGAAGCATAATTACGTACCTGTAAACTGGCGAGTGGCAAGAGTCATTTTTATTCCGAAAGCAGGAAAAAATGGTCACCTTTACTCTAGAGATTATAGGCCAATTAGTCTTACCTCTTTTATTCTCAAAATTTTTGAAAAAATACTAGCAGCACATATAGGAGACCAATTAGCTCCTGAAGTTCTGTCAAGAGCACAACACGCCTATACTAAGGGCAGATCCACGGAGACTGCTCTCCATACACTTGTCTCTAATATTGAAAAGGCCTTAGAATACAAAGAATACGCTCTAGGAGTTTTTCTGGATATTGCGGGAGCTTTCAATAATGTATCAACGCAAGCTATTTTAAATAGC